TGTCTCTTATACACATCTAGATGTGTATAAGAGACGGGAGGGAGGGAGGGAGGGAGGGAGGGAAACATTGATGTGAGAGAGACGCATCGATCGGTTGCCTCCCGCACTCACCCTGACCCAAGGCCAGGGACTGAACCTGCAACCCAGGTATGTGCCCTTGGCTGGGGGTCGAATCCCTTTGGTCCTAACCGCTGAGCCACACAGGTCAGAGCCATCATCTCTATTCTTAATCCCAGAAGGATATTTCAGTGAATCGAAAACTAGAGGGGCACATCTGGACGCGGACTCTTTTCTGCAGTGTCTCATGCCAAGTTGACAACAAAAGCTCTTGTGCAAAGTGCCTCTTAGCCTCACCCTCCCTCCGTGTCAAGCAGAAAACTGTGGAAGAAAGCGTTGCTTCTAGAAGCCCTGGGTTCGTCACCTAGCGGAAAGACAGTGATGCAACAGACGCTTGGCCAGGCCCTTGTTGAAACCGACCGCAAGTTTTGCCAGTGTGCCCGCATCCACGCTTGCCCGCGTCCCTCACCCACTGTCCAGCTCCGAGCCTCCCACAGCCTGTTCCCCAGCACGCACAGTTTTAAAAGCACCGTGCTTTGTCTGCTCAGTGCTTTATTCCTTCACCTCCGGGAGACTCCCCCATGCATCAGCGGGGCCTGAGGGCCCAGCTGCGGAGCAAACAGCCTCTGCCTCCTGGAGCTCACACTCCAGGGACCGCGATGTCCCGCAGAACTCGGCCACGCCTGGGCCGTCGCCGGCCACGCTTCGCTGCCGAGCACCGGGAACGTGGCTAATGCAGACTTCTGTGTTCCATTTTAACTTTTAAATTTAAAAAGCCGCGTGTGGCTAATGCATCCTCTTGGGCGATACTGCTCTAGACTCCGTGGGAACCTGCATGAGGCCCCAGCTGACCGTCCCTGCGGTTTGAGGATGAGGCCGGGTGCCCATCACCAGCTCAGGCCATCATCTCAACCTCTGCCCCCAGGCCCCTGTCCCTGAGATGCCCGCGTTCCGAGCCCTGCTCAGGCGCCCAAGGCCCTTCCTGCCCACTCTGGTCCTGTT